TGTAAAAATTCTTGAACTTTATCTATGACCCTTTTATTCCATTGGATTCCGTTTTCGGTGGTATACGGAAATGGAGGACCGGCCAAATGTGTGTAGATACGAGGATCATTCAAATATGACACACTGGCATTTACATCATCTAGCCTTGGAGGAGTGATGCGTATGTTATCATGAGGAGAAGGAAGTTGAAGATATGGTTCTCCAGTTTTCTCGTTCACCAGCAGAGGATGAAGTTTCGTAAGATTGGAAGGGAAATGCATGATGACTAGCTTCAGAGTTTCCGTTTCTTCGTTCGACGACTATTTATGTAAGAGCGAGCTGTATTCTTGACACCTAGTCATGCATGCGCTGACTCGAAGTGAATCCATGGACGAGCGATCGGTCGAACCAATACCAATAGTATTCCCTAAACATATTGAGGCATTGAATTATGCGGTTATAGCTAACCTTGGGATCGATTTGATGGCTTTGTGACGGAGATAGGCTAGGGTCATGTATCAAATCGCCTCCATCGGTCTTTCTCGATCCACTTTCTGGTCTGAATGTGGCCAAGTATAACCCGTGGTATGTTTCAATGTGGCGGTACGGCATAGTAGTTGCTCAGCTCGTTCATTTTTGTTGTCCATACTAACCCTTCAAACCCAAACGAACGATAGAGGTCATATTCATAGCGTATGTATACTCAGTTAAACGAGAAAAAACGGTTTACATATTTTAGAAAATCTGTGATATTTTTCTTGCACACGTGACAAGTGTAGTTGGTGTCTTGTCTTGTGGTGGTGGAATGAAGGGTATTCGCAGGTTGCACCAAGACCAACCTCACCTCATCATATTATTCACAACATGGGACGGCTGGTGATAGCGCATCACAAAAGTTATCACCCTTATAAGGCTGAGAACATTGAGAGGGTTCGTAGAGATGAAGAAGAGGCAAGGCTAAAGGAGGCCAAAGAGGAAGGTCGCCTTCGACTGGCAGTAAGTTCTTTGCCACTCTATTTATTTATCCATTGAGGGCATTCGTTTCAGGACTCTGAAGCACGACTCGAACTGCTTCGTAAACGAGCAGGGATCAGCGCTTCTTCTAGTAAACAGAACCGAACAGATGAGGATTTGATTCCAGATGCAGTAAAGGAATCGCTAAAAGAACAGCAAGCAAAGGATGTACCTGAGAGCCCGTTGCAATCCTTGATGACCGATGGTCATATCAACCTATTTGCGGACCTCGAAAATGTAGGAGATACTGTCTTTGCACGAAGAATTTTGACTAATCCAACGCAATATTCAGAAAGATGCAGTATTAAAACAAGCCGTTGATCGCTCCAAGAAGCAAAAAGGAAAGAAGGACAGTGATGAGGATGACGCTGAGACCGATAAAGGTTACCGCCTCGCACCGTCAAAAGCAGATCGAGCACCATGGTACACCAAATCCAAAGAAGAGGGACAGCCAAAGTTAGATCCAGCTAGAAGGTGAGCGGACAATCTCTCCCGGACTCTCCGTTACTTAATTCTCTATCTAGGGATCGGGACGAAATACGTAAACAGAAACATGATCCTCTCAAAGAGATCGAGGCCTCACTTTCACGTGCTTCTTCCAGTTCTAGGATCAGTCCACCCCGTGTCTCATCCAAGAACTCGATGGGGCCACCTTCTATACCATCATCCTCTTCCAATACCATGTTAGGCAATCGACTATCAAGAGAACATTCAGAACGACAAAGAGCTGCCGAACTTATCGCCCGAAAGCGAAAGGAACGAATGGGAAATGAGACACCAACCACTGTAGCACCTTCAGAAGCTGGGTACGGGAACATGTATAATAAGGACGATGTAGAAGCGGCTGCCCGAAGACGACGCGAGGGTGATTCAACCCGATGGAAAGAGAGGGTCCGACATTGGGATGGAACATCCGGGGCTGGTAGGAGATGG